ATTTTATGAACTTTAGAAAAATCTTTCAAGATACTCTGCGTGAATTCTGTTCCGTTGTCGGATATAATATTTTCTGGGATTTTGTATGACGTAATGAATTGTAAGAGAGATTGATAGACATGAAGTGCAGACAGACTAGGTAAAATGTATGCTTGTCCAAATCGGGAAAAACTATCACAAATTGTGAGAGCTATGGCCTTGTCAAATTTGAATGTATCTACATGAATGGTTTCGAAAGGTTTTTTCGGTGTTGGTGTCAGTTGAAGTTTAATAAGTGGGGGATGACGTTCATATTTTACTTGTTGGCAAATAGAACAATTATTTACGAATTTCCTGATGTCATCACTTAATTTTGGCCAGTAATATTTTATTTTCAGTTCATTAATAGTTTCGTGAATTCCTCTATGATTCGTAATGCCTTCATGAGTTGACTTGATCAAATTTTGTTGTCTGTTTTCATTAGTAACGTCAAATAAAAGTTTATTAGATTTTAGAATTTTGAAAGCTGAATTTTTGAATATTTGGGGTAGAAAAACGCATATTTCTTTATAAAGCTCTTGATTTTCATCGTTCTGAAAATACAAGACATATTGTCGTTTTGCGCCACCGAAGTCTTTCAAGAATTCAACAACTTGTGCTTGAAGTGTTTCGTTTGTCACATAGAGATACCATCTTGTTCGGCTCACTGGATTTCCGAAAATTTTCTCAGTTTCGAAACGTGGGTTTTGATCAACTTTTATTATGACTATCTGACAAAGAAAATAATTCAAAGGTTTGTCGGTTATATTTATGGTCAAAATCGGGTTTTCTGCACTTGTATGTACAGTCTGATTGTCGTCGTTTTCGTCAGGGTCTACTTGTCCTATCATTGATTGATTATCAGGTTCGTTACTAGTGGAAGGTCTAGGATTTTCGTCTAAAATGGGATTTTCATTATATTCTTGCATGTACTGTAGTATGGGAATGTTTTCTGTGATATTTTCGTCGTTAGTCTGTGTATCAGTGGGGTAGATTTCTACTCTAGAGAGGGCATCCGCGTTTGTGTTCATTTTTCCTTTTTTGTAGATTATCTGGTAATCATATTCTTCAAGTTTCAATCTCCAACGGACCAAACGAGAGTTTGGCTCTTTGAGAGACATAAGCCATTGAAGAGGTTTGTGGTCTGTTATGATTTTGAATTTTCTGCCAAACAGGTACGGCCTGAAATATTTTGTAGCCCACACAATGGCTAACAATTCTTTTTCAATTGTCGAGTAGTTTTGTTCTGAATCATTCAATGTGCGTGATGCGTAAGCGATAGGTTTGTCTTGTCCAATAGGGCCCTGTGAAAGAATGGCACCTACGGCAATATTACTCGCGTCTGTTGTCAGGATGAAGTCTTTTGTCAGGTCAGGATATTGAAGGATGGGGTCATTAGTCAGGAGAGATTTACAATCTTCAAAAGTTTTAATATAGAGTGGATCATTGATATTGATTTTGGCTCCTTTTTTCAAACATAAAGTAAATGGTTTCGTGATCTTAGCAAAATTTTGAATGAATTTTCTATAATAGCCTAAAAGTCCGAGGAATCCTTTGATTTCTCTCGTAGTTTTTGGAATAGGATAGTTGATAATAGATTTGATTTTATCCGGGTTCGGTTTAATACCATCGGGAGTGATGATGTGCCCTAAGAATGCTACTTCAGTCCTCAGAAATTCTGATTTATCAAGTTGCACTTTTAGGTTACTCGCTCGTAGTTTTTCGAAGACTAATTTCAAATTTGTTAAATGTTCCTGTAAAGAGGTGGAAAAAACGATTATGTCGTCCATATAGACAAAGCAAATTTTATTTTGTAAATCTTTCAAGACGTTATCCATGACTCGTTGAAATGTGGACGGGGCATTTTTAAGTCCGAAAGGCATGCGCAAGTATTCGTAATGTCCATGCTCAACATTGAATGCAGTTTTTTGGATATCATCAGGATGCATTTCAATCTGATGAAAGCCACTTGCCAAATCCAAAGTCGAGAAATACTGGCATCTGCCTAATTTGTCAAGGATGTCGGATATGTTTGGGATAGGATATCTGTCGTCAATTGTCTTCTCGTTAATTTTTCTATAGTCGACCACTATACGCCATTTTTTCTTGCCTGATGCGTCAGATTTTTTGGGGACTATCCAGATCGGGGAAGACCAAGGAGAGTCACTGGGTCTGATAATTTCCTGTCTGAGCATTTCATTAATTTGTCGTTCAACTTCCGGTTTATGAATAAAAGGATAGCGGTATGATTTCGAATAAATAGGTGATTCGTCTGTGGTTCTCATTTTGTGTTTGACTTGATTTGTGAAGGTTAATTTTGAATTTTCGCGGTGAAATATATCTGAAAAAGAACGGCATAATTTTTCTATGTGATATTTTTCTTCTTGATTCATGTGCTCAGTTCGTATAAGTTGCGTAATGTCGGGGTTTTGTATAGTTTCGTAATCTGTGTCTGGTATTGTCAAATGGTAAAGTTCAAAGTCATTATTGTCAAATCGTTTTACTGGTACCGGTTTATAAAGAAAAATTTCTTGAACGCCACTGGTGTTATTGTGAATATCAACAGATGCATAGCCTAGATGAGCTATAGTCAGACATTCGCGGATAATGCACTTTGACATATGAGTTTCAGGAATTGTAATAGTACCTTCTGGTATCGCAACTGGAATTTTAACTGATTCTATGGAAAATGGTTCGATTCGTGCGAAAAATAAAAGTTTGCCTTTTGTTTCATAATGAGCTATCGAAATTTGGGCAGTGGGTGTTTTAATAATCGAATTTTGAATATCTATTTGAATATTAAGATCTTTTAGAGTTTCGTAACCAATTAAACCATCGAAAAAATGATGAAATTTGAACAAGTAAAATTTGATTTTCTTATCTGAATTGAATTCGCTGAAGGCTGGAATTTCGGCACACTGATCTCTGCAAGTTGTTTGAAATATTGATGATATTGTGAATGGTTCCTTTTTTATGAAGTCGTTATAATAGTTTTCTGCAATTTCGGGGTTCAAAAATGATTTGGTAGCTCCTGTGTCAATTAATAATTTTAATGGGGGATTTGAAATTTTGATATATGGGAGGTCTTTTCGGTCATAGATTGAATGAATTTCTATGTGTTGGTTTCTGAAGAGTCTATTTGTTGAAAATTTTGATTAGGTTCATCGATTGGTTCTGATTGATATTCATCATGATTAGGATTTTGGTAACAAATTTGATTTTGAGAAGTGCTCGGTTCATTTTGATAGTCAAAATATTGGTCATCGTAATAATGATTTTGATATTGGCTGTCAAAATATTCTTCGTCAATTTGTGAGTCTACGTTATATACTTCTTCAGGGGTAGAGTTCATTCGGGGTTGTTGATGAAATGTGTTTGGTCTATCGTCATTTCTTTGTCGAGGTACAGTTCCATAAGAAATTCCGCTCATTGGGGTAGGTCTAGGTCTAGTTTGATTTTGTGGGTTTGATCTCCAAACATTACTTTGATTTCGGAAAGGTCTTTGGTTTCCAAAAACTTGACTGTTTGTGAAATAACGTTGTGGAGGGGCAGGCCTTGTTTGAATTTGTACAGGACCGCGTGGAAAGTTAGAATTTTGGAAGGTTGGTCGTGGAATATTTTGAGGTGGATTTTGGAAGTTATTTTGAGAATAATTATTGAACTGGTGATGATTTTGAAACTGATTTTGATATCCATGATTGTATTTCGGATTTTGTCTCGGTTTGAACTGATCGTTAATAGGTTTTTGCAAATGACGAATATTACTTTCAGAAATTATGTATTGCCTAGCTTCTGCTAAATCGTTGGGTTTCATTGCTCTGATTGTCGAACCTAGGGGTTCTTTCAATCCTGCAAGGAAAATTTTCAATGCATGTGTGTTATAAAAAGTTTTCTTCACTGTCTTGTTATTTGGATTATTTTCATGTGTATCTAGGTAATTGTGAAGAGCGCGTAAATTTGACATAATACGAGTATAAAATTGTAAAGGAGATTCATTGTTAGTTTGTCGCAATTGGTCCAAATCAAAAAGTAATCCGTTTTCATCTCTCTGATCGCCAAAATGGGCTATAAGAGCGTTTTTTACTGATTGCCAGTCTTTTGCAATACAAATACTGTAAACTTCGCGTGCTTTTCCTATTAATTTTGCATAAATGCCGTAAATTAATGTTGTGTTTTGAACACCATTGATATTTGCGGGATTCGGGTCCCAATATGTATTGATTAAGGTATTAGCTGTATCCAAATATGAAGATAATTCTAATGGATTTCCGTCAAATTTCGGAACAATCTCTAAAAGTTTGGTTTCAAAATGTGGGATTGACATATTGTTTGATACTTTAGGTGAATTACTATCTTCTGTTATGTTCAAGACAGAAAGAAGTCTGATTATTTCTGACTCTGATTCTAAATTTGCAATTGGACTTATTCCGGTATCTAAATCTAACTCGCGATCTATATTTTCACTTGAAAAATCTGAGGGCGAGGAGAATGACATAAAATCTTGGAAGGAAAATAAATGATATGAGCAACTTACATCAAAACGAAGATTTTCATTCCTGCTTCGACGAGACTGCTTTTTCTTCTACTTCTGCTTTGTTTCTGCCAGTTGAGGTCCTCGATGGAGCACTGGGTTCTTCTGGTTAAACAGTTGAAACTGACGGGTTATTTTCGATAAATTCCCTTTTCAGAATCCGTACGACTGCGCCACTTTATGTTTTTACTTTCCCGAAAAGACTTTTTAAAAAAGCACTTTATATTTCGAGAGACAAAAATTATTTATTCAATCAGTTTTACAATATTAAAAATATACGTCTTTACTCTACCAAGATCATGTCTATTCTGAATTGCGGTTCACAAGGCATTTCGTTCTTTCCCTGAAGTCGGATTTCTGCTGATGTTGATGTCAGCAGGTTCTCACGGGAAACCGGGTTGCTGCTTACATAACTGCATATACCGTTTGAAAAATGTAATGTTCGTTTCAGTTTTCGGGCATATCTAGTAAAACTAGATCCAAAGCAAATGGGAGTGGTACTAGTGTGGAGAGTGATTCGCCAAAAACGCTGGACGATTGTTTGTCCAGACGTAAACAGCTCCTTCAAAAATTCATCTCCGAACGCAGATCGCTGAACAAATCTGACCAAGATTCGTTGTTGTCGGATTCCGTTGACGCCAAAGAGAGTGAATCTGTGGATGTGGCAACTATGCGGAACGAGTCCAAGACTGCTGAGACACCAAAGTCGAAAATCAAAAGACTATTAGAGGCCATCAAGACTGAAAAAGAAAAAAAACTTGGTACGTGCCTTGAATGAGTTTTTTTCCTTTGGAGAATAAGAATTGTTGTTTTGTTTGTTTATTTTTATCTGTTTATGGCTGAGCAGCTAGTTATGTTCGTTTTAAGACTCAGGACTTTATACTTTTTTTTTTTTCAAATAAACTTTCAGTTTTCATATTATACTGAGTGATTTTATTGTAGTAACGTTAATGGGATTATTAGATTTGGGTGATTTTAGTGAGATCCATACACACAAAACCTTAAAAAAATGATTCTTTTTTATAGCATCATTTCAAGATAAATATTAACACATATACATAGTGACATTAAAATAAATACAAATATTTCAAACTCATACTATTGAATGGCACCAATAAAAAATATAGGAATAAGAATAAAATTTGGGGTGAGACCATTTTTTGTACCCAAAGTACTACACGTAGCTTTCTGACGTCACCTCTGTATAAATCTCCGTGCAGAAGACAAATTCACACAGAGTTTGAACATTTAAATTGCCATGAAGTATAGTAAGTACTTGATTTTTTTCAGATTTTTATTTATTTCTCAAGATGAAATTTTACCTTGCAGTTCAGCTAGCATTGAGAGAAAAAAAAGTGTCTTCGCCATCTGTAAAATTGGAAATGGAAAAAATGGAGAAGAAGATCATATTAACCTCAATATAAAGAAGGTTAGAATGGCCTTCTTCTCCATTTCTTCTCATTTATATTGTATGTTAACATAGAATTTTCATTATTTTGTGTTGCAACACTATGGTGTCAGAGGCAAAGCTAATGATTTGATGAAATCCTACCTCAGCAATCGGACACAAATAGTCGGTATCTCATCAGAAAATAACTCCAAGTCTTCGACATACTATTCTGACAGTGTACAAGTTGGTATAGGGGTGCCGCAGGGCTCCATACTCGGACCAATTCTATTCTTAATATTTATTAACGACATATGTTCCCAAATAGACATTAGTTCCGTTTTCTTATTCGCAGACGATATTTCAGTCGTTGTGTCTGAAAGAGACATCGGTGCTTTGAATGAGACATCTAATACAACTGTCTCTCGAGTTGTAGAATGGTGTGAAAATAATTCTTTAGTGATCAATAAGAACAAAACGAATTACGTATTTTTCAAAAATCATAGAAAAGATACACAGATACAGATTTTTAGGGGTAATGATAGATGAAGATCTACGATGGACGGATCAGGTGAGAGCAATAATGAGTAAATTAGCATCTGCTTGTTGTTTTCATGCCGCGTGTGATATATTTTATTTTTTATATAGCCCCATAAGGAGAAATCAACGTTCGCGAAATAAGCGAGATATCCCGTAAGGACATCGAAAATGGGACAGCCTGTACAGTGCTCGTACAGGTAGATTTGAAGTTGAAACCTTTTAGCGAAACAGGCATCAACTTTCGATTTTCAAATGGAACACCCTGTGTTTAATTGGTTCTTTAGATTCTCCATGAAAAGCTGATTTCATCAATGTACCACACTTGGAGTCTAGCGGGAATGATTTTCAGATATATAGGGTGTTAATAATCGAGATTTTTCAACTTTAGGATTTTTTTATGTCAAAACTATGATGAATAATATGATGTATCAATTTTTTCATGTTCATATTTTATCTGAGAATATTCCTTTTTGAGAAATTAGCATTTTTCCGCCCTAGTCGGGGAAGTATCACATCCATAGTGGAAGGAGAAGATGTTGTGCTCAACAGAAAGATCAAACTCGTCTTGTTCTGCGCATGACGTCAGCTGGGATATAACTGTCATTGTTATTATTTGTTTTCGTGATTGATGTCTCGAACTTCAGATATTATATAAGTACTAAAATTGAATGAAATAATTTCGAAATGCCTACTTGTTTCGTTTCTGGTTATGGAAATTCCAACTAACATACAAAAGGCACAGATATTGAATTTTTCTGCTTTTCCAAGAATGGAGACCTAATGAAACGATGGGATCTTGCTGCCGACAGAATATAAACTCAAATTATGGTACCTACCTTTTATTCCTTTTATCGTCATTCCAAAGTATTCATCTATCATATTATCATCACATTCATATTACAGCACGTATTTCTCAAAACATTTCCATGCAAAATGTTCTCAAACAAGTGCGAAAGTACGGTTCTTGAATTACACACCTCCAAAAAATCACAAATATTTGAAACAAGATGCCATTCCTACAGAACATCTTCCGAATATCAAGTCAGAAATAATTGAAAATGAATTCAAAACTCTTAATTCCTCACAAAATATAAATTGCAGCAAAGATTTGAATAACAAAACGGCAAAAATTGATACTCCTGTTGTCGATGTCGGAGCAGAAGCAACGTCAACGTCGTTAACTGCTGAATTTTAATCTGTCAGAATCGACACAGTAGTGGATTATTCAGATGGGATTGGCAATGCATGATAATTCTTATGTATTTTTGCTATTTGCGATTGCGAATTACCTCAAGATCACAATTTCCAGAATCAATGAAATAGTAAAATCAAAGGTATAGGTACCTGTTTATATAAATTGAATTATTTCAAAACAGATCGAGAAACTCATAGAAATTTCAATAAACATGATTGAATTCATTGCGCACGCCCATGGCAACGGTATCTGTCTGTGACTATCAGCTGATGTTGGTATCCCAGATGACGTCACATAATATGCGCGTAGGCACACCATCTTCTCCTTCCTTCGTTGTTGTCACTGTAACTATGAAAATCTTGGTAGATATGGTTTTGATAAATGCAAATGATAACTACCATAGCAGCGAAATATCGGCTGAAAGGTATTTGACATGAAATTCGTTGACATTTTGGTTTTTGAAAGTTTGGTTGCAATTATCGCAGTAAACTATCGAAAGCAGCTGCGATAGTTAGTTTGAAAATGTCCATACGATATTTCCAATGTAACAGTTAGTAGGTACAGGGATTCTGTTCAAATTTCAGTATTTGATACAAATGAGAATTAATAAAGAAGAAGTTTTATTCTACGAAGCAATATAATATGGAAATGTGTCTCATCGATTTTTTATTTTACATGGTTGCCGAAAAAATATTGTACGCAACACGTCCAAAAACAGTTTTTTGGACTCGCAGACTTCCAGGATTCGCATACGGCTCGGTCCAGAAATTTATCTACTCGACCAAAAAAACAGTATATTCCGGACGTGTTACGTAAATTACTATTTCAATACTTTCACCCAATTAAGGGTTTTAAACTTGAAGGATGGAAACTACAATTTCTCGTTCATTAAGACCCAGAAAATATCTGTACACATTTCAAAAACACCTTGTATTTGTACTTACTGTATAATAAAATAAAAGTGATACCGATAATACCGAAACCTGATATAATTATTATCAATTTTAGAAACTGAAACTGATAATACTACTTCCAAACGAAAAATTGTATTCTACCCTGCTGGAGGCGAACGGACCTGTTTCCAACGTTCTGTGAAGAGGAACAAGCAAGTACATAAAGGTTTGTTGATATTCATCCAGATATACAGGGTGTATCTAAATAACACCGAAAAAATTCAAGGGGCGATTCCTTGTGACATTTTAGGAAATACAGTGAAATAGTGAAATACAGTTAGGATACTGTAATACAGTGTCCTAAATTGCTTCGTTTTTGAGATACAAATCAAACGGATATGCTTATTTATCCCGAAAACAGTACGTTTCTAGAAACTAATTGGAGGGCAAAAAAGCCTTTGAAATGAACAATCCACCCTATTTGGTAACGGGATAAGAAAGAATTTACCCCCAAGAATGTATCTCCCTGTAGATTTTGAAAAACTTCAAAATGCTTCAAATGATGATCTTCTAGAAAGTATTGACCACACCCTATTTCAAATTGATATCTCTAGAAGTCAGTGAGATATTTCAATTGATAAAAAGGTTAATTGAACTTCCTTTGTAGCTCTATAGGACCCATGTTTATATAATTTTTTTTTAATTAAAATAAGGAGACCTATCTTCCATTGCAGTTTGTACCTCAAAACCTGAATTACCCTGTATATTTTTGAGGAGGTATAAGAAATCTGAATCGAACTGGATAGAGAAGGAAAAAAAATGGCTTCATTTTCAAAAAATTACAGAAATAAAATGAGTACGCCACTGTTTAATAAATAGTTATAAAGGGTGTCTCAGAAATATTTGCGTATTTTATGCAATAAAAAAAATGCTAACATTATTTTTACCAAAATGAATTTATTACCAAAAGGAAGCCTGAACTTTGAATTTGAATGTTTTCACACTGTCCTAATCCCGAACTGAAGGTTTCAATCACTCTCCGAAGCATTGCACGAAGAATAGCGTTGATTTCATATGTTATGCTTTGCTTCAATTCTCTTAAATATTAGGGTGGAGCGGTGTACAGGCAGGGTCATTCCGTATATTTAAACAGCTTCTACAGGGTATATCATTAGAGATAGAGAAAAACTTCGAATGCAGAAAATGTAGGGTTTGTTCTGAACCTCCAGAAAATTATACCAGATGAAACAAATGAATATCGCTGATATAAGAAATGGGTACCAACTCCGTTATTTTCAATAGAACAAAGTGTAGCACCAGGAGATTATTCGAAGTACCGCGCTTGACACCTGACCAGTGCAAGGTCAACGGTCAGTCCTTCAGCACTCGTAAAACATGACGGCCACCAAAAATTCCGCGTGTTCGCACATCTGCCCGCCGCCTCTTGATTCCTAGTTCCCGGATTGCATTGCAATCAATTACCTGTGTTATAGAGTGTATTGTCACACAAAACCTATTGCATTAAGAGTGAGTGTCGGTACTGACATTTAGAGAAGAGCAGAATTCTCCACAGCAAGTGGCCCTTTGGACTCGGCAGCATCCGACAAATTTCGGTAAGTCTCTGCGTGCTACACCGCCTCTTTTGAGTATTTATTTCAAATTGTCGTTACGCAACATAAACATATCATTACATTTAAAAAAATGAAGTTGAGGGCTCTATAGGAAAAATTGTGAAAATGGAAACGTTGCAAATATTATTTTCAGATCTGGAACAACTGATTACCCCCGTATACCAAATTTCATAATTGTATGTCAAGCCGGTGCTGAAATATTCGGGAAACCCTGTATAAATTGTGTGTGAATTTCTTGTTGTCTGGCGTATCCTATGTCATTTTTTCATGATCGTGAAGGATTCAATATTTTTTTTTATTATAACAAGCACGTTGCGCCCTGTGAAAAGCTCCGTCGCAACTGAAACTTAACAGTGTTGCCAATCGATTGCCAACTACCTCGTTTTTTCGGAACATGCGTATTGCGCCAGAGGAGTGATACATAAACGAAAAATGTTTCTGAGACACCCTTTATATGACCCCGTTCTCATTCTGCCGATAAGTTGAAAAGTAACCAAGATACGGGAGTTGCTCAAGAAGTGAGAATGGGCTTATATCACAAAAAATTTTTATTTCATAATTCGATAGAACTCACCCAAACTAGCTCACCACCGCAAACCGTTTCTTGCTGTGAGCTCCCTACGTTTTATAAAAAATTATTGAAATCCCCGATTTTTCGGACCTCTGAAAACGAGGCGATGATGTGACGTCAAAACCCTAATACTGAAACAAGACAATTCCAGAAAGAGATGAATGAAACATGATTTCTGACAGAGTGAATTAAGGCGAGATCACAGTTGAAAGAATTAGTATATCAGTTGCCTCAGTCTCCGTCGGGCGTTTGGTATTTTCTTTCAACTATGGCGAGATGAGGTTTCTACGTCATGAGAGGGTCCTTGTTCAGAAGTTACTATCATTTATGTCCAAAAATGAAACATTCCAGTTAATTTTTCGATCAGATTATGTCGTCAATCATTATTTATGTATAAAAGGATCATTATAAACATGGTTTGAGTTAAAAGTTCTACTAAGGAGTACACGCCCATTATCAACATCGTCCTGTATCTCAAAAACATGAAGGACTGTGAAAATTCTGTTTGCGGCATAAATCGTTCCCTAATTCCCTATATTTCACTGTACTTAAAACATCAAATGAGAAAATGGTCCGTGTCTTTGGAGGAAATAAAAAATGCGACTCAATCTCCAAACGTGTATTTTTTTCAGGCTACCCAGTCCAATCTGTCAGTTCAGATGATGTCTCTCTGAACACGATCAATCATGAAACACCAGTCACACCGAAAAGCGAATCATTCCAGCCGAAGATAACTTCGAGTGCTTCGAAATGTTCGACAACAGACGACACCGACTTTCTGTCTGATGGGAATTTTCAGAGCGAGCCTCAGGCTGAGCTGTCTGAAAAGCACACCGACATGGAAACGGAAGGCGATGATACTAGTACGTTATTACTAAGCAAAAACTTCAATAACTTTTGATCTAAAGATCCCCCTCTACAGTGTCATTCATAAAGTCGGCATCATATGGGAAAAACTTTTATTTTGAAATTCGACTTGGACGTTAAGTTTTGCTTCAAAAAAGATGAAAAATGGCCTACTCAATCGGGGTCACGTGACTTTCGATACATGTCAAAAGTGACATTTTTTCAAATTAATCGCTGAAAGTAGACTATTTGTTCGAATATCGAAAAAGTTTACTTGAAAAAGTTGTTTCTATTTCAATTTTACATATATTATGTGACTCGGATTTTATCTTTCTATCACATTTTTTAGATTTAGATATTTTTTGAAACTTTTCGAAATTTCTGTAATATTAAAAAAATTGTAAATTCGATAAAACTACTTCATACCAGTAGTTTCATCATGCTACTCAATCACTAATTATCACTATCGATAAAAATATGATTTTCTTCAGAAAATGATAATCTTCGCTTCAAAATTCTGTTATGTTTGATGCAAACATAACATCAAAATTCTGTTATGTTTGAGTCAAGCATTCAGAAACGAAATTCATTTAATTTTTTTTTCAGAACTGAAAAGATCAGTTTAAATGAATTTCGTTTCTAAATGCTTGACGATATATCAACTTTGCATCAAACATAACAGAATTTGTAAGCGGGTATTATCATTTTCTGAAGAAAATCATATTTCGGTCCATAATCAGTAATAATAAGTAATTGAAAGTAAGTAGCATGAAAAAGCTACTGGTATGAAGTAGTTTCGTGGAATTAACAATTCTTCAAATATTACAGAAATTTCGAAAAATGTAAAAAAAAATCAAAATCTTAAAGTGGCAATAGAAAGATCAAATTTGAGAAGAATGTGTAAAATTGGAATAGAAAAAAATTTTTCAAGTAAACTTTTTCGATATTCGAACAAATAAGCCTACTTTCAGCGATTAATTTGAAAAAATGTCACTTTTGACATGTATCGAAAGTCACGTGACCCCGATTGAGTAGGCCATTTTTCATCTTTTTTGAAGCAAAACTTAACGTTCACCTCGAATTCCAAAATAAATCATTGATAAAAGTTTTTCCCATATGATGCCGACTTTATGAATGACACTGTATATCGCAGCTACTAGTCGTGAGATTCTTACCAAATTTGGACTGATAGTTTAGTTTAGTTTAGTTTATGTAACAACGTTATGTACAAAAAAAATACATTTGTTGCAGGTCATAAACATTACATCTAGTGGTAGCACACACAAAAACAAAAAAGTTTTGTCAAACAAAAACAACAAAAAAATGAACATAGAATAGTTATTATTGTACCATGAGAACAAATATCAAAACATCAGCATGTAAATACGGTCAACGTCAGATTCAATTTCCTTTTAGGTTCAGAAGGGCGTTCGTAAGAATTCCTCAGTTGAATAAAAGCAGTGTTTCACAATGAATTTCCTCAGGAGATTTTCAAAGTGAGGGTAGTCAGTATTGGTCAATTTGGTTGGAAGTACATCATAGAGCTTCAAATTTATGGAATTTTTTTTGTGATTTTGCAAGTCGGTATCTTGGAATTTGTAGTTGATTAGCAAAATGTAGATTGTAGATTGTAGATGGGTCGTATAGGCTGGGAGACCTCTCGATCACTGCGACCTAGAAGATCTATTGTGATTACCCCTATCTAGCTTTGGTCCTCTAACCCTAGACTTCTGATGAAGCCTACGATTTTCCTGACGGATGAATTTTCCACCTCAGCAGAGGTGAGATAGACCTGTTCTAGGTGGTTCAGCCTTTGGCGGACTAATACTTCACATGAGCAAAGTATGTGTTCCGCGGTTCCGGGCGTATTGTTACAAAAGCTCTGGTTTGCTGAGGCTGAGTAGCTCTTTGGCTCGGTTCTGCGAATGGTTGATGAACCTTTTCGCTTGTCGTTGACCTGGAGTTGCTCTCCAGTAGGAGGACTTTTCAATTTCTTCCCATTTCCTGAGTTCTCCATTTAGGTGACATTTGCTTATCCCACAAAAAGGCCCAGGACCAAAAAGTGCAGATGCTGCACCTTTTTTTGCAAGGCGATCAGCTGTCTCATTTCCTTTGATTCCTTCATGCCCTGGAACCCACATAAGTGTGACTTTGTTGTCCTTTCCCAGTTGCATGAGTGTTTCAAAGCAGCCCATGTAATCTTTGTGAAAACGAAAGATTTTAGGGCTAATCTTCTCTGTATCGTTCCAATTTTAGTATATGTACCGCCGAAGCGAGTACAGTTGATTAGCAAACCTAGGATTGTATTCATGATGATCACTCCGAACCTGAAATTTACTTCTGTCTTTATGGATTTCGTGTAGGTCTCTATGACGACCGTTTCAAAATATTGTCGCAACTCAGATGTTGACCCTCCTATAGGTCGTAACTTAGCTACTCGCTTGACTTTTTGACGAGAGGTTTTAATCACTTCACCACCCAACCGCATTTATCCCCAAAAGAACAGTCATGACAGTTTTCATATAAAATTTGACATTTATTGCTTAAATGGAAAAATCGAGGATAAATGCTTGCCACATGGCAGGTTAGCAATGAAAAAGAACATAATGGCTTGCCAAGTGCAACACAACGCAAAACAACACTTGAAAAAAAAAATTAGTACTCACATTACAACGTCTAGCATGGGGTTGACCAGCAGGATTGAAGTCAGGGAGAAGGCGAACATTTTAAATTGATAATTACAAATGACTTGTATTAATGATGATAATGCCTTATCGACTCGGGTACTATTTATATTCGGAATCGATGCTAGGTTTGCAATGGGAATGGCCATAACCTTTCGATATTGCCTACCTAGGTATTATCGCACGGTACGCGGTTTTGCAAATTCTACTGGAACTGAAGTCTATGAACTCCGCTGACCTGATCGAAACTACACTGTACTGGATGTTTCAATTCGGAAAAATTAATTCATAATTAAAGATCTTGAAATGAACGTGAGTTTGAGTGATGTTATTCCATAGGCATTTGTACTTCTTGACATGCATACTCCTTGAGGGTACTTACTCCATAGACTTAATTTACTTACTTGCTTGGCTTTGAGAGGGTTGTTTTTATATTGTGGAACATAGAGAAATAAAAGGAGTATTTAAAGTAAAAGACACATGTTCATTGATTAAATTATCGGTACTTACAATTTGAATATCAGAGAATCAATCTTCAATGGGCACAGGGAACATTTCTTGCTCTACGCCCGATGTAGACTAACTTCGTATTTTTCTTAATCAAACTACTCCAACCAATATTTCCCTCTCTGATTGTATATTAATTTCTATAACTCAGCAGTTTTAGAATCAATGTCTTTTTCGTTCAATCTGAGTTCATACAGGTTATGGAAATATTAGTTGTAATATGAAACTTGAGTTCCTGTCTAGGTATGAGAGTCATGCAATACATTGGATCTGAAATGAATGTTTTTCATTGAGAATAATTATATTCGAATTCAGATATATGAAAATTTTACTAGGATTTACTACATGACAATATGAAAACTATCAATATGAACAGTTTTTCAGAGACGAACATCCTTTTGGACAGTGCCGTGCGTTTGAAATCATGAATAACAATATTATGAGGTCAGTTTTCCTGTACAAAAATTCCTAATATGATTTCATAAAAGATTTATCCTTTTTGATTTTAATAAAAACGCACAGCACTGTCCGACATGATTTTCGTCTCCGAAAAACTGATCATATTGATGGATTATCATACCGGTTCAAATTTGGTAAGAATCGCGGACTACACGTAATCCCGTTTCAGTCATATCAATGTTGCCGGATTGTACTAATTTTCTTTAACTTGATGAAGAAATTTCTTTAATGATCTTGAACTGATAGGATAACCAAAAAATTAAAAACTAGCATTTTCACGATTTCATGAATTCACATGGAAGTGGAGATAGACTATTCCTTGAAACAACACAATCTAACTCGGCCAACAGAATCCTTTACTTTAGAAAATGATTTTGTCAAAACTCTTTCTCAACAGTAAATGCCTCCACAGTACTCTTTTCTGGGAGGAAGGAAAATAGCCCTCCTGCATAAAAAATTGCACGTGCACGAATAGTAATGTTATGTTTGTGATTTTGAAATGTTTGTTATAATTTTGAATTTGAACTTTTGCACAGTGTCCACCGAATCCTCGTTAGGCAACACATCGACCACCAACAACGACAGGGTGAGCACTCTCAAAATAAAGCCCCACTGCAGCTGCAAGCAGTGCGAGCACTGGACGAAGGAGGAAAACGTGTGGGAGGACGGACCTAGCATCCTAAAAAAGGTGTTATTTTCTCCCTATAATTACCTACAATATATTATTTTCTCATTTTTTATCATTTTTTTACGTTTCAATATTTTCTAGTAACTTCAAATAATAACAATCACTCAGTATATCATTATTTTCACACACATGAGAGTTTAATGTGTGCACCGCCTACTACGGCGACACCTGGCACACCAAGAGAAGAAAAAGGACAGAGCTCAACATGAGGTGTGCTCATTTCTTTCATTATATCTGATTGTCCTCACTTGCATCACAATATTGATTGAAAATATTGCACATCAGTAACTTCTAGCGTAGCGCTATCCGTTCATAAGTCGCCTTAGGCAATAACATTGAACTCTCTCGTCTCCATTATCTCATCCCTCACCACGAAAAACAGTTCATTCAATCTCACGTGAATATATCCGTGAATTTGAATAATTCTGGATATTCGCACAACATTTTGGTCCTTCCAGCCGGATTACATCAGTAACTTCTAGCGTAGCGCTATCGTTCATAAGTCGCCTCAGGTAATAACTCTCTCTTCTTGATAACCTCATTCCTCACCACAAATTACAGCCCACTCAATCTCACGTGAATATTTCCGTGAAATTGAATAACTCTCCATACTCGCACAAAATTTTGGTCCATCGAACTGGATCACATCAGTTACTTCTACCATAGCGCTATCGTTCAAACGTCGCCTTACGTAATAACATTGAACTCTCTCGTCTTCATAATCTCATTCCTCACCACGAAATACAATCCGTGAATTCGACTAATTCTGGATATTCGCACAACATTTTGGTCCTTCGAGCCGGATTACATTACTCGCCTTCATAATCTCATATCTCATTACGAAATAGAGTCCACTCAATCCCACTCGAATATAGCCGTGAATTTTATTAATTCTTGATATTCGCACAACAGGTCTCGAAAATTGTGCCGATCAGTCGGCAGCTGCTGTTCAAGGAAGGAGAAGGTGACGAGGGCGATAACAACGTCATCTCTCTGGATTTCGATTCGATGACCAAGATCGAGAAGCGTGCTGTTCCCAAATTATTGGTGCACAGGTACGATACAATTTTATGCACGACCGGACGTAAAGTGGCACTTTATCCCCCAGATTCGCGGGCGTAAAGTAGCACTTGAGCGCCCTAGAGCGATAAAGAATTACAGCGGGTGATGAAGTAGTTCGGCGGGCGATAAAGTAGGTGATCGGGCGGTAAAGTAAGAAATCCTCCTTTATTTTCCTTGATCTTTTACTCTACGAATTATGGCAATCAAGGCTTCAAAGGAATTATCTTCTTCAAAATCATTGTGAACTATTCTGTGGCAGTCGTAAGTAAATTCAAAACTAATGTAAAAATATTTATGAATACATAGTTGATGTGATAAGTAGTACTCAAGTGCTACACTTCTAAAAATTGTTCTCAATTTGTTTTTATCCATCATTCGGTTGCCCCCTTACGAGCAACCCTCAAAAGTCTTCAAGAGACTTGTGCGGGGGAGGAATGACGGGGGTCTTACATTTTAACGTGTGATTTCAAACACTTTCTCAGGCCATCAGAAAAATGTCTGCGGTCGTGGTGGATAGAAACTGAAACTCTTACCAGGAGGCTATGCTAGTCACGTATGAGTGTGATTTTCATTGCTCCTATTATTATGCATCTTTTGTTATAGTTTTTTTTTTATAAAAATGGTGTAACCGTTGAAATAAATACATAGATATTGATCGATTGATTGATTGATCGAATGTGAACAGCGGCAGCATCCCGACTCCGGTAAGGATCCTCTCCAAACTGCCCTTCCACCGGGAAGTGCATCGCAGCCTCGAGCAGCTCGACTACAAAGTGGCCAAGCTGATACAGGCCTACGCCTGGCCCGCGCTCTTCCGCAACCAGAACCTCTGCATGGTGCACGGCCCCAAAACGGGCAAGACGCTGGCTTATTTGCCTGTCATGTGCACCTTCGTTCTCGAAAAGGTCAGTACCTCATACTAAATAACAATAGATATACACCAGGATTCATTTGATAGATCACTATGTCAAGTTATCAATGTATTACCCGAATATTTTGAAGTACTACAGATAATATTTCATCGATATAAATGTTGTGAACTTCCTAACAATTCATCACCCTGTATTATATATGAACACGAAGGTGTCGATGGGCAACTAAAAAACAATCATCGACAGTTTCCCTAGTAGTTCTGACAAGTTGTCAATATCCTAAGTTTAGATTAGTATTCGCGAGATTCACGAAGTGGGCGACATCTAGTTTACATAATACGAACTTCAAACTGGGGGAAAACAAACTGTTGTCTATGGAGAAAGTGCATAGACTACATTGCATTCAGCTTGCTGTAGCTGTAGTTGAACTTGTCAATGACATAAAGTGTTAGCTCTGTTGGTAGTGATGATGGTTGAGTTGGTTAATTTTTTTACATTAATACATTTTTATTAGTTTAGTGAACAGTGAACGGGTGAAGAATTGGAGATAGTTCAAACAATTCAAACTAATTATGACGGGCAAATCCATTGACATATAAAAGAACAGCTACAACATGTTTACAATACCCAGATTGTCCTGCTTTGCACGAACAAATACAAATCCATTGTTCTACAGGAGTTCCTCTGGACCCCAACTTCAATTTTACTTCATGTGGGGAAGATTTCATCGTCGAAGTTTGTAGACAAAGTGCAAAAATGTGCCTTTTGTTGAAGTCTTCTGCCTCACACAAAATCACATGATTAGCACGGAGAACTGCTTCTCCTTCCACTACTGGTCGGCTTTTTCTATCTAAATAGAGCAAAATATCTGACAAAAGAACATCTACAACAGGCGTTTTCGATCGAATATTGACACTCTATTTAGTACACAGTACACAAGCTAATGGCACTAATGGGATTGAGTATTGAGTGAGGATTGAGTTTGTTTTTCCCCAGTTTTGACGTGGCTTTGACGTGAAACATTGAAAACCGAGCGCCACCTGGTAACATTGATTCCCGCGAATTGAGTGATGATTGAGTTTGTTTTCCCCCAGTTTTGACGTGGCTTTGACATGGAACGATGAAAACCGAGCGCCACCTGGTTATAATAATCCCCGCGAATGGTCTGTTCTCAAGTTCATTAAAACGAATTGACGAATACACGTAATAGAAAAGGAATCTTCTGGTCTGCCTATTCAACCCTATATGGTCCTTCGATCCCCTCACCTCAAGAACCCCCCATCAATAAAGACAAGAATGCTCAAACAAAAACTCGTTCTTTTTTGCATATAAACTGCGTGACAAATGAAGTGGTCAACCTGAATATTTCACCTAATTTCGAAATCAAATCTTATGAAAAATACTAGTCCGATTCTGGAACGGTTTGTTCCATGTTGTGTAATAATCGTTTAAGAATGGAATGGTGTACCTACTCTGTCCATGAAGTTTGTGTTCCCAGATATACAGGGAAAAACATTGACCCATTACAAAAATGAATATTTTCAAAGTTATCCCAATCATATGGAAACATTTTTGGATTTTTTTCTATATACATATTATGAATGCTTGATGTGTTTTGCCGAAACCGTTTGAAGATTTTTCCACTAGCATACTTCATTTACATGCAACATCTTTTTCAATGGAAAATTGACGTTTTATGAAATGTCTTCATTTCCAGGTGATCTGTTCATGAAATAAGAGTGTTTTCATGAAATCGGGATTCATCACACAAAAAAAAAAATGCTAAAGTTGAAAAATCTCGATTTTGAACACTTTATATCCCTGAAACCATTACAGCTAGACTCCAAATGTGATGCATTGATGAAATCAGCTCTTCGGGGAGAATATAAAAGTGCAATAAAATACAAGGTGTTCCATTTGAAATAACAATTGTTGCTTCTTTTCGTTAGAAGCGGCAACGCCGCAGGGCTGAAAATATTTTAGAACGATGTCCCCCTTGAAAATGTAGTTGACGTGTTTCAGATTTTTTTCATAATCCGGTTTTGGCGACCTACAAGAGCCTCTGTTTCGTTTTCAAAGGCCCAATCTGTATATTGTTGTAAAATGATTTATATCATTCCTGTTATAATTTTTGATCTACTGATGACATGTTAACAGTGTATCTTGTCCAATATTGAAATTATGTCGTTCAATCCCTTTCTGAATGTCAAATCAGTGATCTAGTGTTCTAACCTCAATTCTCATGTAATGAAATTTTCTTCATGAGCTATTATGCTTTGATATAAGTGTTCGCCACACCATTCATTGTTGTCTGTAATATATATACAAGGTATATTGAGAATTATTGCTTTCGTATGATTTAATTACCATAACATTAACTTCCATGCAACCATTTGTTTTTCATCCGATGTACTGACACATCAGGAAATTTCAGTATTTAGTAGGGCCTCCATCTACATGCAGGAGAGAACGACATCCTGATGGCATGCTTTACTAACCTTTGTATAAATTGGCGAGAATGTTATCTCTATCCCACTCTTCCTTAATCATTCTTGAATGGTATAATGATTTCAATATTCGAGAAAACATTCTGTTAACATGCCATTAGAAGATCAAGAATGATAACAGGACTACGGAGCATTCAAAGTTTAAACCACAATATGCATGACTGAATTTCACGTTTCTTTGGTATCTCGAATTACCCTGTAGATCGATATTCGCTCAATTGAAAGAAGTTGAAGTGATGAATCCCTCCCTGAATCGATTTCATGAAGAAACTCTCTTATTTCATAAACAGATCAGCTGAAATTAAGGAAACTTCAGAAAAAGACAATTTTCTATAAAAAAGATGTTGCATTTTGATGAAGTATGCCGAATTATTTTTGTTTATGGCTGTTTGTCATGCTTTCAAAAGTTAAGTTCCGTTATTGTCGCTGGAAAAGTTAGGGCAAAATTTTTTCGCTGTCATAATGACAAAATCACGTGGCTTGTGGGATTTTTCTTAAATGAATTCAATTGTCAAAATAATGTCTTTATTCAAGGTTGACAGATATGAGTCATTGCTGAACGTGGGAGGAGGACCGATAGTGATCATACTGTGTGCCGATTCCAAGAAATGCGAGGATGTGTACGATCTGGCTAAGGTTTTAACTAGGCGAAACTGGACAAAAATTCAGCTGATTACGTATCCTATTGGACATATAAATTCTGTAAGTATTGATTCCGAAATGGGAGAAATTATCCAGTGGGAACGAATTTGCTGAGTTGTTGCTCTCTTTGCACACATCGTTTTTATAACTTTCATTATTAATTGGGTGAATGTTTTCAACATTTACACCAGCAGAGAAAAAATATCATTGCTAGACGTTTTTTCTCTGCTGATGCATAGCAATAGCATAGCAATCACAGTTTCAATAGGAGAGATTCAATTTAATTGTACATATAACTGAAATATAGTAGAAACATAACATGATAAAATATGTTGTAAGACTCCAAAAACCAGTATTTGCGTTCGGCAGCAAACTAGTCTATCCAGTACTGACGTCATTACCCGTTTTCCTGTGTTGCCAGCTGTTTCATTTTAAGGAAATATCAAGTAAATATTTTTCAATTTTCGAATCGATCCAACTGTTCTGTTTTTACGATCATAAATTTATCGTTTTCTCGTGTTGTAATTGTTAGTTCATAATGTTCATTCTTAATTGTATTTCAATCCTATTCACTAAAATTATCCTCCCTGTATATCTCTGCTTTCGCGAACCCGAGAGTTTAATGTTAAGGCTGACTCAAGCGCCACCTGAACTGACCGTATATTCGCTTGGTTGTCGAATCAATCAATTTGACACTTGTTTCCCATTGATTTTGATCTATTCGAATCAAGTTACATCTCATCATTGATCTTGTGATCTAACATCTCAGTGATTCGCCAACAATCTTAGTTAAGTCTATAGAAACTCAATTTTATTGAACACTAGGTATAAAAAATGAATCTACTTACACCATTTCTGTATTTTTTGTCGTAAGTATAAGTGATTGTTGTTATTTGGTGCGATGGTCATTAAGAACATGACAATATCAGCTCTTATTTTTTATGAACCAGAACCTAGTAAGTATCGTCAATTTTCTTGTAGAATTTCACATTCACACTTCCCATTCAGCGTCCCCTGTTGAAAGGAGCACGAGCCGCCACTGTCTTTCTGAGGCAGTAAAATCACTTACTCTAATACCCTGACTTTCAAATAATAAGAGCATTTCGGCCTACTCAGTCTCCTCTAGACCCATTTCTTATAGTAATAGTTCAGAGGGTAGTGCTTTAGCTCTTGTTTGCTGAGACTCACTAGCTTACGAATTGTTGAAGAACTCTTTCCTTCTCGTTTACCTGGAGTTGCTCAACAGTAGTAGGATTTTTCACTTCATTCTCATTTTCTGAGCTCTGTGATAAGGTGGTATTTGCTTGTCTCACAAAAAGGTAAAATGTGTGCTCTGTACTTTTTCACTAGGCGATCAGCTGCCTCATTCCCTTGACGTCTTGGTACCCACAAAAGCGAGAATTGATTCTAATACTTATTCATGACAAAATAGGTTATTTTGATAATTCTTATAGTTTATCAGTTTTTTATCAAAATGAACAAAGAATACCCTATAACATTTGGAATTATTGTTTCGCAATTATAACAACTATTATTCTAGCGTACAGAATTCAATTTTTTTTTGTCCCCCACCCCACAGATTACAAAAACAAAACAATGACCTATTTGAAAGTTTTAGAGCTTTAATGAATATAGGTTCATATTATGATCCAAATCATATAAGTTGAAAGGATGAACATGAGTGTGGCAAATACGACAAAAGACGTCTCAAGTCCGAGTGCTCTAACAGCCGTTCATCTTTTTTCATAATGACGAAATTTACATGAGCTCGATAGGAAATTTGATGCTCTTCCAATATGTGCATGATGCTGTGTCTCTGAGTAATATGTAAAATATGAATTATTTGTGAAAACCGTCGAGAAACGCTACTTTTTGAAAAGTACCCAAATTTGGTCAATTTTCAACTGGCTCTATCTCCGCACCCTTCAGTCCTACATTCATGAGCAATAACAATTTTATCTAGGAAATTTTATCTACTTCAACTTTTTATAGGGCGGTCTTTTCGATATAATGTATGATTTCCGAGTTACGGGCAAAAAAACGAAAAAAGTCCGAGAATTTTGCTGTTTTTTGCGAATATCTCGGAACGCTTCAGGAAATTCTATTTACAAAATTCAGATTTGAATTCAGCACCTCCAATAACATATAAAACCACAGAAAAACCGACTGTTGCAGATATTTTTATTTGTTTTGTTATCGTCACCCTGTATTATTTATTTTGAAATAGATTAGTGCGTTATGAAGACAATCGATATAAAAAAAGGGAATAATAATAATTAAAGAAAGTAGTTGAACGAGATAAGATTCACAATTTCAACGAAAATACAATACACCCAAGAAATATATAACATTGGTACGTTTTACTGAGGTACAACCCTTCGCTACTCTAACAAAAAGAAGGTCACCTTGTCGCTCATAGATACCACCCTCTGACTAGAATTTCTGGAAGGATGGTTCATTTTGTTAGTGTAAATACTCAAGGATACCGTCTACTCACGAAGTTTTCCAGAATCACGTCGACATAGTGATCACAACCCCTCCAATCCTGCTGGAAATGCTCAAAACGAAAACGCTGAACTTCAAACGACTCTGTCATCTCATCCTAGAAGACGGCGACGAAATCCTGAACAGGCACCACGAAGAAACCCGAAAGTTTTTCGATCTCACCCAATCGATGTTGAGCAACCGAGTGTTCTCGAAATCCGTGCAGCTAATAGTCTGCTCTGAGCATTGGAACAAGAAGCTGAGCACTTTGCTGAGGAGCTTAGAGCAGGTGCCTATGGTGTGCATCGGGAATTATCTGGAGGCGGCTTTGTACGGGAAAATGGAGTTTTCGATGAAGTTCAGCAACTCTGCTTGCAAAGAAAGCGAACTGAGAGGTATAAAACTGCTATTTTTCTCACATCAAAATCTTGTAGATCATTAGATAATTTGAACCTCAGACTGAATAACAATAGATAGACGTGACACGTGACCATATTCGTATGCAACCAACAATACATTTTTGTTATCATGTTTACTCAGGTAACATCATCATATATGTCATATTTTCACCTTGGATCATTCGTGGCTGTAGTTTCCAGTGTTTACGTTCTGTGGTTCACGTCCTTCGCAATTTGATTGGCCCGTTAACTTGTCAACTGTCATAGCAACCAATTGCTCGCCTTGTTTACAATTGGATTGCGAATTTGTCTCTTCAGTTTTGTGTTTACGAAATTTATACTGCACAGCTGTTGATAGTTTATATTGTTCTTGATTCTATTTTATTGTTCTTGCATTCGATTATTTCACTCCCAATTATTATTACTTTGCAAAAAACAGTTTTTATCAAAACTCCATCTCCAATTCATTATATAGTTGTTAGAAAGCAGTTTGTGTATATGGGAGATTCATATTCTTCAATAAGAAACATATCTTGTGGTGTGCCCCAGGGATCAACTCTCGGACCTATTTCATTTCTGATTTATATAAATTTTATTTCAAGTTTGAAATTACAAGGTAATTGGAAATTGCCGATGACACACACCTCTAATTTATTACGGAAAAAATTTGCAAGTAATAAAACCAAATGGAACAAGATCTCACTTCAATTACATTATGGTTATACAACATCATTAATTGACACTCAATTTCGATAAATCTTCTTTCATGTTCATCTCGGAAAGAGTTATACTTGATAACCAAATAGATCCTTTAAAATTCGGGGATTTCTTTATAAATCCTACAAAAACAATCCAAACTCTTGGGTTTAACTATAGACCAGTCTCTATCTTGGTCATCGTATATTCAAATGCTCAGGAAAAAATATCTCCCATTGTTGGTATATTATACAAATTGAGGTCTTCTATGCCTCTTAAATACTTGAAATTGATTCATTTCAGTTTGATTTACTCTAAATTGCAGTATCTGATATCGATCTGGGGTACTGCAGCAAAAGCTCTTTTGAAACCTCTGTAATCTCTTCAAAATAAAGCCATAAAATGTATTTATAAACTACCATTTCTGGAATCAACATCTAGACTATACAAACCATGAGAACTGCTAGATATTGACTCTTCAAAATGAAAGTATGCATTTTCATCCATTTCATTAAAAATAAGAAAAAGCACTCGAATCTTACTTTCACTATCATTGGGCGTGTACACCTTAGTAGGACTCTCAACTCAAACCATGTTTAAAATGATACTTTTATGCATAAATAATGATTGACGACATGATTCGTTTATTAACTGGAATGTTTTAATTTTGGACATAAATAATAGTACCTTCTGAAAACGGACTCTGGTACTTACTTACGTAGAAACCTCATCTCGCCATAGTTGAAACTGACACTTATCACTGTCGCCCAAGGGCGTCGCCAGAGAGGGGCAGGGTGGGGCAGCTGCCCCCCCCCCCTACGTTTAACGCTTACCAGTCACCCTGCTATCATTGAAACGACTATTTCATTCATCACATAATCTGACCAATCACAAGCCAGAGAAAACGTGTGCTTATCGCGAAAACTAGATGTTCTCAACGATGTAACCATGGGTAGCGAAGCGAAGACTGTCAATTTGGCAAAAAATAATGACTGTACTTGTCAGAATGAATCATTCATTCAAAATAAATGCTTCTTTGCTTCGTGAACGTGGAATAGTCTCCACTCTGTTCTGAATATATTCTCATAATTCTTCATTTCCTTGTCAAATCTATTGTGTTGCCGTACAGCCCTACCTTTCGTCCTGACCCGTGGTGTTGCTCAGCAACACAATTTGGTGAACAATGAGGCGACAGAATTATCTCGAATATTAAGAATATCGTGATATTACTTATGATAACGCTCACTTTGAGCAAAGAACTTCCGAAAGTATATTTTTCTCCTGAAGTTGAGAAGGCTCTGAAGATTCTTGTTGCCTTTACCTTGTAAGATTTGTACAGTTGAAAGGTCATTTAGTAGCCTTAGAAGAATCAAAACCTGGTTGAGGAGCACCATGCATGATGCTCGACTCAATGGCCTCGCAATGATGAGTATACACAGGCAACATATTTTCAAAAACTTGAACGATTTCGTCAAAAAGTGACCAACGAATTCCCAAAGAACCCTAGAAGATTATTTTTCAACTGATTTACTGTATAGATTTTTTTCTGTTTTTTGATTTTCTCATTAAACTCTTTCTATCTGATTTTTCTCTTCAGTTTTTTTATGGTGCCCCCCCCTATTTTTTCCGCTGGCGACGCCCTTAGTGTCGCCATATCATCCAAACAAAATATCTGAGAGATCAAAATCGATATTGGAATATCTTTTGATATCCACTACCACTACTGCAGAAAAATATATTCAAGTTGTCGATTGTAGGTTGAATCATTGGAATATAAACAATCTCTAGATAACGAAATGTCTCAATCTCAAAACCATTTCCACCATTACAATTTCACAATAATCCAATATATTTCATAAACGCAGCAACATTGCTTTGTTGACCCGTTTTACATGGAGCTGCAAAAAGTTAATATAGGTTAGAATTTATCTTCTTCTTGTTCTTTTTATCTTTGTCCCAAAAATCAACTTGCCGAATCACCAATCTTGTTGCTTTGTCAGAAATCATGTATTAGGGTTTTGACGTCACATCATCGCCTCGTTTTCAGAGGTCCGAAAAATCGGGGATTTCGATAATTTTTTATAAAACGTAGGGAGCTCACAGCAAGAAACGGTTCGCGGTGGTGAGCTAGTTCGGGTGAGCTCTATCGAATAATTATGAAATGAAAATTTTTTGTGATATAAGCCCATTCTGACAACCATGAGCATCACACCAGACAAAGTGAACATTTGAAAACTGTCAAAACAAAAACCCAATTTCAATGTCACTGACATTGAAATTAGCTGTGGATATTCTTCTTTACTAATACATGTAGTATTGTTGCATAATATTTTAATTCTTGCTTTCATTGGTTACTGTCTAGAATACATAAAAACCCTTGATCTATTTATTTTCAATCATTTTGTGGTATTAGCTCAGACATCTGTTAGACTTCTGATAACTAATTGGGAAATGTTAAAGTAAACTTATTGATTCATGATGAGTTTCCCTTTTTCATACACTTGATATACCGGGTGACCAGTTATATTCTGACCCATTTCAAATGCTTATATCTCTGAAACCATTCAAGTTATCGTTATGCAGTTTGGACTAGTCTATGTTGATATTTTTCAAGTTTTTTTTACAGGTTCACCTTCTCTCTTGAACATCCGGTTCTACCGGAAACAAACTAGCCATTATTCAGGTATAGGGCAACTTTTTTATTTCATTGAATCACCCTGTATATTTTTGCACATTCAGAAAGACTGGTCTTTTCTCTTTCTAACAATGTATAACAAGTTATGTTTTCTTTGAAAACTATCAGAGTTATAACTGTTTGAAACAACTACTGCATGTGGAATGGTTTAATGAGATTTTGCAATGTAACCAAAGAGTTATAACTCTGATAGTTTTCTAAGAAAACATAACTTGTTATACATTGTTAGGAAGAGAAAAGACCAGTCTTTCTGAATGTGCAAAAATATACAGGGTGCTTCGATGAAATAAAAAAGTTGCCCTATACCTGAATAATGGCTAGTGTGTTTCCGGTAGAACCGGAAATTCAAGAGAGAAGGTAAACCTGTCAAAAAAAAACTTGAAAAATATCAAAATAGACTAGTCCGAACTGCACAACGATAACTTGAATGGTTTCAGAGATATAAGCATTTGAAATGGGTCAGAATATAACTGGTCACCCGGTATTATGATTATTTCTCGTTCTTCCACATTTTGTCGATATCAAAATAAGAAAATGGTAGTTTATGGGTCTAGTAGAGAAAACATTGCTTCTTCAAATTGTTTTCTGGTGGATTTTGTGGTTGAAATTTCTTATGTCGAATTTCAGTTCTGCTCAAGGACACTTACCGGATTCACAAATCCGTTATCGTATGCAATGAAAGTGAGATTGAGGACGTAGAAACCATTTTGAGGTTGAAAGGAATCGATTCCACCGTAGTGTCGGACAGTATGAGTCTGGAGGAGGTATCCCTTCGAGAAGATATGTGGGCTTTAGCCAAGGGTGGATGCTATACAGGTGAGTATTTTATTATTTAATTGATTTTTTCTCTACTTTTCAGTTTCATTTTTTTTTCAATTATGGTAGAACGATTATATCGTTATTTGTATAATCCGCGATGAGATTTGGGATCATCTTCTGGGGACTTGATAGTTCCATTCAAAATGTTTTTGTATGTCAAAAAAAGAATACTTCGTATTATTGATTGTCTTTATTACCCGAAGAAACATTATTGTTTATAATAGGGATATACAGTGTGTCCCACTTACCATACTCACCATGGGTATCTTTCAAACGGTGAGAGATACGAGGTCGGTTAAATGACACCACAAATGTGGAATTTGTCAAGGCCAACTATAATGTGAAAAAATATTTCGATAACATCTATTCGTTTTTGTTTTATACGCAAAAAACAGATTTTGATCATTTTCATGTCTCCTCCGTAACTTCTTTCTTTATGAAAATATTCAAATAAAAATTTCACATTCTCGTGGCAATTTTTCAGAGTGATTTCGAAAAAAAATATGAAATTTATACCAACTCCTCTAGAATTTGAGATATCAGCACCAACTTTAGTTTTTCAAATGTAGGTCATAGCTCACTATGACATAGTTACAAATAACTTTTTTTTCTCTTACAGATGATATGTCGCAGTTATAGTTTTGTGTTCATAACAACGGAGTTATAGTCATTTATACAAAAACAAAACATTATTTGGAAGCCGCCATCTTGAATTTATAAATTTTAACAAAAAAATCATGATCTCCGACCTCAAAAACCCCCACTTACCTATTTTGAATGGAATCGGACCAAATCTTGTCCGCCATCTTGGAGCAGCCATTTTTTTAAATTTCAACAAAACTTCCATAACCCCGATTAACTTGAAATTTGGCAGGTGTTCATAATTTCGGTGACAATACATTATGAAATTTTTGTTGAAATTAAAAAAAAATGGCTGCTCCAAGATGGCGGACAAGATTTGGTCCGATTCCATTCAAAATTGGTAAGTGGGGGTTTCTGAGGTCGGAGATCATGATGCTTTTGTAAAAATTCATTAATTCAAGATGGCGGCTTCCAAATAATTTTTTGTTTTTGCATAAATGACGATAACTTGGTTGTTATCAACACAAAACTATTACTGCGACATATCATCTGTAAGAGAAAAAAAGTTATTTGTAACTAAGTCACAGTGGGCTATGACCTACATTTGAAAAACTAAAGTTGGTGCTGATATCTCAAATTATAGAAGAGTTGGTATAAATTTCATATTTTTTTCGAAATCATTTTGAAAAACTGCAATGAGAATGTGAAATTCCTATTTGAATATTTTCATAAATAAAGAAGTTACCGAGGAGACATGAAAATGATCAAAATCTGTTTTTTTGCAAATAAAACAAAAATGAATAGATTTTATCAAAATATTTTTTCGTATTATAGTTGGCCTTGACAAACTCCACATTTGTTGTCATTTAACCGACCTCGTATCTCTCACCGTTAAAAAGATACCCATGGTGAGCATGGTAAGTGGGACACACTGTATACAACAAAACATACATATAACATAATAAATCGAAACAATAATAATTGCACAATTATTGTTTTTCATAAAAAAAATATGATAAAATATAGAATGAAAATATTATAATCCATTACAAGTAATCAAATTGTGAATGATTAGTACTATTAGTAGATATGGAATTAAAGTTTACTGAGCAGATATTTCTTTAATTTGATTTTAAATTTTTCTGCTTCTATATTTTTTATCTCATTAGGTAAGGAGTTATATAAAATTATTCCATTATGGAATATTGATTGTTTACCAAAATTTGACTTATAATTATTTGCTATCAATAAATTAATTTGCCTTGTTTCATGGGCGTGAATCGTATTAACTTCATTAAAAGTCAAACTCGATATTTTCAATTCCTTCCTGACATAATGAATAAAACAACAAATTCTGAGTTTATATAATGAAACTAGATTCAGCAAGTCTTTAGGTTTGTATAGATTCGCAATGATTCTAAGAAAGGTAAATTGAAAATGCACTTTATTGTTTCATTTTGTAATTTCATGAGTGGCTTCAAACGTGAAATATTTGTACTTCCCCAAATAGATATTAGATATTGTATATTTGAATAAAAAAGACAGAAATAACTACTCTCTAGGTAGGTATCTAACAGGAATGAAATTTCGAATTTTATATATAATACCAGCAATAGGATTCAATTTTTTCCCCAATTGATCTATATATAAAGTCCACGATAATTGTTCATCTATATAAAGACCTGAAAATTTTGTTACATTTGTATATTCAATGGATTTGTTATCGAAACATATTGGGGTATTATTCAATATATCCGTTGTTCTTTTTGAGATGTACATATACGTAGATTTACTATAATTAAGAGTCAACTTATTGGTCGTTAGCCAAGATGATATTTGTTTCAAATCATTTTTAATATCATTATTGATATCGTTAAAATCATATTTCTGCCGCTACTTATTCAGAAATAATTATAATTTTTTTTTATTTGACTCGGTCGTTAGTTACTTGATGGAAAGCCATGGCAAATGTGAAAACTTCACAAACGATAAGATTTCCACAAAATTCTCAAACACACGACATGTTTCTCTAACACAGTAGCTTCGTCAGGTGATATACTGGTACAATGAACTGAACTAACTTTGGCTTGCTTACCTTTTATACAGGGTAACTCATGGTCCATGGTACGTTAGACGTTTATGGAGAACGGAACATAGGATCATTCTGAAATTTTGGTTACTCACGTAGTTGCTCTTGGTCTATCGATCTAAAATATTTTCAGCTCTGCGGCGTTGCCGCTTCTATCGAAAAGTAGCAACAACTTTGTTATTTTAAATGGAACACCCTGTATTTTATTGCATTTTCAGATTTTCTCTGAAGAGCTGATTTCATCGATGTATCACACTTGGGGTCTAGCGGAAATGATTACAGAGATATCGGGTGTGAAAAATCGTCATTTTTCAACTTTAGTAATTTTTTTTGTCGAAACTATTCATTATTGGTCAAAACGGCTTACATGTCCCTGTCTCAACTTTCGATTAACTATCTGCTGATATTTAATTGGGACTTGAACCGGGTGATCAAGATTCTGAATTCTGCACCACCCTGTATTTGTTTCAATTAAATGTCAGTAGATAGTTGATCAAAAGTTGAGATAGGGACATGTGAGCCGTTTTGACCAATAATGAATAGCTTCGACAAAAAAAATTCCTAAAGTTGAAAAATGTCGATTTTTCACACCCTATATCTCTGTAATCATTTCCGCTAGACCCCAAGTGTGATACATCGATGAAATCAGCTCTTCAGAGAGGATCTGAAAATTCAATAAAATACAGGGTGTTCCATTTAAAATAACAAAGTTGTTGCTACTTTTCGATAGAAGCGGCAACGCCGCAGAGCTGAAAATAATTTTAGATCGATAGACCAAGAGCAACTACGTGAGTAACCAAAATTTCAGAATGATCCTATGTCCCGTTCTCCATAAACGTCTAACGTACCATCGACCGTGAGTTACCCTGTATATTTCTTTCCCAACCTGAAGTTTTAGTTACCTGTGGACATCTTTGATAAACCTTCATTTTCGGATTAATCCGGTAAACCGTATTTTAATGTAGATATTGTGCCTAATTTCCCAAAATGAAGGTAACTAATCTTTCAGGTTGGGAAAGTATTATATAAAAGTTAAGCAAGCCAAGGTGAGTTCAGTTCATTGTACCAGTATATCACCTGACGAAGCTACTGTGTTAGCGGAACATGTCGTGTGTTTGAGATTTTTGTGGAAATCTCAACGTTTTTATATTTGTTATTTAATTGATGAAAGAATTGGATCTCCAAAACTATCAAACATAATCTGGTTTTGAAATCCATAGTATGAAAACAGATGTGTCCATCATCAGCCTTAAAATGAAAAATAGTAATAGAACTGAAGAAATAATAATACTAAATACATTCACATGTTCACTAAATGGCAGTGAACCTTGTATATTCCGTTCTGTATTTTTTTTTCGCAGTTTTGGTATGCACAGATTTCTTGTTGAACACAATGCTGACTGTGACCAAAGCGAACAAGTTGATACATTATTCTCTGCCTTCTTCTTGGACGAAATTTGTGCAAAGGTTCAGATGCTTGCTGGAAAATTGCAAGAGTCCTCTTGATAATAACGAGGTAAGCCAAAAAAAATAACAAGAATCACGTTATTGCCATTTCGAGCGAGTCATGGATACTAATCTGTGGTTCTTTTTGATATTCTAGGTGAAAATAGTGTCTCAGAGTATCGTTCTTATTGACGAGACGTCAGAATCGCAGATGCATAAGTTCTTCAGTTACATATATTCCACTGAACTGAAGAATCAGCTACCAGAAAAATTACAGAGATACGCGGAGGTGAGATTTTGTTTGTAAAGAGAATCTTCACCCCCAATCATTGAAGTGCAGAAATAGATGAATTATATTACGAGAATACATGATTAAAAATACATGATAAGTATGTTAAAGATGGAACATCAAATAATCTGAATAAAATATTATTGCGATTTTTGCAATTTTCAGAAATTTTTCTAATTTTCAGGAATTTTTGCAATTTCTGCAAATTTTGCAATTTTCAGGACTTCGCAATTTTCAGGAATTTTTGTAATTTTCAGAAATTTTTGCAATTCTTGCAATTTCCAAGAATTTTTGCAATTTTCAGGCATTTTTGCGATTTTTGCAATTTCTGCAATTTTCAGAAATTTTTGCGAATTTTTGTGATTTTTGCAATATTCAGGAATTTTTGCGATTTTTGCTATTTCTGCAATTTTCAGGAATTTTTGCAATTTCTGCAATTTTCAGGAGTTTTTGCAATTTTTGCAGTTTTCAGTCATTTTTGCGATTTTTGCAATTTTTAGGAATTTTTGCGATTTTTGCAATTTTCATGATTTTTTGCGATTTTTGCAATTTTCAGGCATTTTTGCGATTTTTTCAATTTCCAGGAATTTTTGCAATTTTCAGGCATTTTTTCAATTTCCAGGAATTTTTGCAAATTTTGCAATTTTCAGGAATTTTTGCAATTTTTGCAATTTTCAGGCATTTTTGCGATTTTTGCAATTTTCAGGAATTTTTGCGATTTTTGCAATTTTCATGATTTTTTGCGATTTTTTCAATTTTCAGGCATTTTTGCGATTTTTTCAGTTTTCAGGAATTTTTGCGATTTTTGCAATTTTCAGGAATTTTTGCGATTTTTGCAATTTTCAGGCATTTTTGCGATCATAGCAATTTTCAGGAATTTTTGCGATTTTAGCAATTTTCAGGCATTTTTGCGATTTTAGCAATTTTCAGGCATTTTTGCGATTTTTTCAATTTTCAGGAATTTTTGCGATTTTTTCAATTTTCAGGAATTTTTGCGATTTTTGCAATTTTCATGATTTTTTGCGATTTTTTCAATTTTCAGGCATTTTTGCGAACTTTGCAATTTTCAGGAATTTTTGCAATTTTCAGGAATTTTTGCGATTTTTGCAATTTTCAGGCATTTTTGCAATTTTCAGGAAATTGAAAATTCCAGGAAATTTTGCAATTTTCAGGAATTCTTGCAATTTTTGCATTTTTCAGGCATTTTTGCGATTTTTTCAATATTCAGGAATTTTTGCGATTTTTGCAATTTTCAGGAATTTTTGCAATTTTCAGGCATTTTTGCGATTTTAGCAATTTTCA